CGGCACCAAACCCTGCGCTGAAGCTCCTCTACATTATTCACATTTCTCTGGCCCCTACGATTGTTGCGATTATATCACCCTTGCACACAGATACTCGTATATGCATTTCGGAGAAGCAAAAGCCCCAGACCCCATGCCAGAAACTGCCAAGGTCGACAAGCAGGAGAGAAAAAGCTGACAAACATCAGCCATTAATCCGAAACAAACGTGAAAGGCACCCTACCCAAGACGACCCACCAGTTTTCAGCACCGGACTATGCCTGATAAACGGCCAGCATTGTCTGTCCCGAGTCAAATCCCCAAACCCCAAACACCCACACCACCTGAACTGCCACAAAGTCTTGAAAACCCTTCAACCTCTTTTGCCCTAGGCACACAAGCCCGAAACCCTACAGAAACATACCTTTTTCGAGTCAAGGTCTGGGGCCGGCACGTTAGACCCCTCACATACCTAAGCCCCAAATCCTTTTGAGATGCCCTTCTGGAAGCTGGGGTTCTTTGATTCTTAAGGGCCAAAACACCCCTCAACCCCAAACAGAGCCCGGCCTCCCAGGCCTGGCCTTCCTTGCAGTCCGGACTGGTCCCGTCGACGCCCCTTCCGCTGCCGTAGGGCGACGCTTACACTGGCTTTCAAGTCCAGGCAAGGTCTGAGACTTGGAGTTAAGGCCTTTTTTGTAGGGTTTAGGATCCGACTCGCACGAAGCCGGCAAGGATTTTTCAGATCTGTGCCCTGGTTGACTGCATAGGTTCGATGAACGAATACGACGTGCGACTGTGTGTTTCGTCTGTGCTTGCAAATTATATCCGCGTCAACCATCCTTTGCGCATTGATGCTCAACTTGTCATACTGGCTAACCTTGTACGGTCACAACCAGCTTGGCCATGCGGCTCATGCACATGGCGCCAAACTTACAAGCACACAGAGCTTCTTTCGATTGGGCATGGTGGGGCTCTGACTAGAAACATGTCGAGACCACGTTCTATTGCGCCAGATAGTTTTCAAACCCCTAGATGCCGTAGATACTCTACCGCAAATGAGAACCCGAGACTGGAAATTACAGGAGGCCTTGAACGATGAAGCAACAAGACCGTGGTGATGAGGAAAACAGTACTTAAAAAGAGCAGGAAGTATTGAATAACATCAACAGTGGCAAGACAACAAAAGGCAACCGTGGCAGCAGCCTGAGTAGAAGCATCTTGCACGGCTCTGCCAAACAACGTTGCGCTTATTGTTGCTCAACCAAAAGGATACAAGAAGGCAAACTCTCACTCTTATTCAACGCTAAGCCGCACGCGCTAAGCCAAAGCCCCTTTTTGCCACTGGAATCAAGTCTAGCCAGTCTACGACCCACAATCGTGCTGACCGAGGCCGACATGCACCTCTAAACCCAAAACCTTTTACCCCAAGCCCTGAAACACAAAAACAGCACAAAACCACAGCCAGAGGCCCACAGATCCCCCCGCCGGCTTTCGGCCTGACCACTACATCTCGGCCCCGGGGCACGATCTCCCTGGGACAGCCTGGGTGTAGGGTTTAGGGCTCCGTGCACTATGAAAGTACTTGAGTATTTACGTTTGTGCGCGTGCGCCTGCGCACATGTATGTGGATTTTCTGTGCAGGTGTGTATGCATACACGTACCTACATAACTATACATATACATATATATATATATATATATATATATATATATTTATTTATTTATTTATTGTTATTTTTATTTATATATATATATATATATATATATATATATATAGATCTACACACACATACGTGCATGCATACATACACACGTACATACGTGCATACATACATACATGTGTGTATGTACATATGTATGTACGATATGTATGTGACAGATGATGACAGGCCAGCTGAAATCTCAAGCACTCGGATCGCCCCACAGGGCTTGCGCCTTTCTGCCCGCCCTGACCCCTACACCCCTCAACTCAAACTCTGAGCTCTAACAAGCGAACTCTCACACCCTAAACCCGAACTCCTAAAGTCGATGACCTGAGGTCCTACAACTGAGTGCACCAAGGCCCTTAAAAGCTTTTATCCCAAGCTTAATCCCTTGGCGTGTGGGTCTGGGATCTGGCTGGCACGACCCAGCAGGTCTCAAGTCCGATAAAGCTTCAGGTTTGCAGCTTCTTACGGCTGCCATGCGGACGAGACTTTGCAAACATGCCTTGTATTAGAAACAAGACCAGTTTGCACGTCGGCGCAGACTCGAGGTGCAGTCGAAACTTGGCGACGGTGTGAACTGTCTGTTTAAGCCCTGGCAGGTTTTCTTCGTGTTCGGTGGGGAAGTTTGGAGCTTGGGGTTCAGAGTTCGGGCTCTAAATCAAAATCCGAAGCCCTACAACCCTCGTCCTAACCCTGAAACCCAGGAGTCCAATTCCTAAACCGTCGAAGAAGCACGATGCCACCCCTCGCAGAAATCGCACAAAGCTCCATGGGGTTGAAATGCAATTTGATCACTGCACGTGGACACAAGATACCCTACACCTTGTGCCTTCAAGCTCAAAACCAACAACCTATCTTCCATCTTTCCCTAAACCGTGGATCCCTGCACGGCATTCCAAACTGCCGTGGCGGTTGCATCTCAGACAAGCGACCGGGAAACTTCGGGTCGTCGTAAATCCCAGCAAACCGCGGCGACCCAGGGAGGGCGTGCCTCGGCTGCGGGTTAGGGTTTCGAGCCCATGCTCGCACTTGTGGCGGGAAAACGAACATGTCGAATAGTAAAGGGCGGCATGTGTGCGATCGGCGCGACTGGAACGAAATGAGGGAAGGAAGCCCCACAGCAAGGGCAAGGCCTTGCCTACCTGCAAACTTCTAGAAACCCTTAATCCATGCCCTGAAACCCCGAAGCCCTAAACCATAATAAGCCCGCGATAGCCGTGATCCTAACAGGCAGCCTGAAGACCCAGAAGCCCCGAACCTAAACCTCACGCCCCAAAGCGCTGAAGGCCCTGAAAGCCTGAAGACTGAAGACCTCACCCGCACCGAACCATGCCGAACCCCCAAACCGCAAAACCCCACACCCTAAAACCCTAAAAGGCCCTAAAGCCCTGCAGCCCGAAAGGCTCTGAAAAACATAAGCCAGGGCACGCCGAGCCCGGAGCCAGCACAGCTAAAACCGCGGCGGCTCGCCTCTGCATGGCCACCTTGCCTGATCGGCCCCTTTCTGCCCCACAAACAAGAAAACCTGAGAGGTGTTCCAGCGAATATGGCTGGAAGGTAGGCATTGGAATGCTAAAGTTTGTGGAAAGGTTGCAACAGGCACAGTCATGTTTTTTGGGCTCCCCTCATCATCCCTCCGTTGAGTACCCCCAAAACCCTGTTAAAATCCCATGTGATACACACTGTTTTCTTCCTTTGGCTACCTGCTTTCAACGGAGGACATTCAATTCTGGCAACGAGCAACAGCCACTTTGAGGCTCTCTCCCCCCTCTTCACTTCACTTCAATCGCGGATCTCTCTCTGTCTCTCTGTCTTTCTTCGCAGGGCCGAGCCGGCGCAGAGGCGCGCCCTTAACACAAGGGCTTCGCTATGCTCGCATACCAAACAAGGCAGGAACTAGAATATCAGAATAACTAGAACTACTGCCGACCGAACGACCACCTTCAGTGGTCAGCTTTGAGCTCTTCGTCGGCCGAGGCTTGCACTTCCTGTGCTCAGCCTGGTGTTCTGCTGCTTGGTGGCATTCTCGTTAGGCAGCGTGTCTGTGCGTCTCGCCATGTTGGACTCCCGGGTCTAGCATGTAGTTCAGTGCCCCGTACTGTCGGCTAGGGGTCGCCTATGGTCGCCTTTTGAGGCCATCACCACCATCGACTCGACCCCTGCCTGTGAGTCGCAGTTTTCCACCTGTGTGTTCCCGCACATCGTTCGAATCAGAGCACCGCAAGTGTCCGGCTCTCGCCCCCCCGCTTCTCCCCCTGTCAGCTAGGTTCTTGCAGATCAAGAAAACAAATCATTTCCTCTGAGTCAGTCATGGGGTTCTCCTCCTCGTTTACGGATGCCGGAATTAGACGATGGCAAACACGAGTAGTTCAGACGGCCGATGGAAACGCAAGGTCTCCGACGTTGCAGTTCCTCTACCATTTCGAGCCTGTGGGCCTACACAAGCAACCATCCGACCTGTGACCGGGTTGCTGTGAGAATTGTGCAGCTGGAGGCCTTCCGAAACTTCCACTGCGAGTCCATCTCGCCTGCTTCTGCCTTACGACCAAGCCAAAGGGCTCCCCCCCTTTGCCCTAGGCCCGATTCCACCTTGGACAAAGCCGGACCCCGCCGCCCAGAGCGCGGCCAGAGCGAGGCAGAGGCGCTTCACGGAGGGCGAAGCCATGCCAGCAGCTGTGACCGTGCTTGTGATGTGCAGATGCTGGCGATGACGGCTTTTTTGGGTGCTCTTTGTGTGCGGCGGGCAAGAAGGCTCAGCTTCCACTTTCGCCGGAGGTTTCTGACAAAACATACTGAAATTATCCATCGTCTTGTGCTTGGAAAATTCATGCCAAACTTTGGGTTGCAGCTGGAGGGTGCACGTTCGCAGGCTCCAGAGTCTGGCCTAGCAATGAATCTGCTCTTGACTGCGCCGGGATCCTGTAGAGGTAAAATGCGCAACACGAAACTGCATTGCTCGTACCGAGGAAAGGTCTGACAAGCATCTTCTAGCAGAAACCGGCGAGGATTGGAAGACCTAGCAGAGGCACCCAGTAATCGTCCTACGGTAACACAACTGAAACTACTTCTGGCGGCTGGCTTCACATAATGATTCTACCACCAGCTGTCGTCACGAGGGCTACTGAGCTACGACAATACTACAACCTTTGAGATCTCAACAACGTCTGGCCCCTTGAGCACAGAGAACCCAAGAGCTACCGGTTCCATTGGCTAGGGGATACGTAAGTTCCAACACCCAGTGCGGTTGCCTCCTATCGAACCCGCGATAACCCACTCTGCCCCGGGTGGTCTTTTCGATCCCTCAGCGAAAACACGTCATTGCATCTTCTTCTTGGGCGTAGTCGGCACATCCTGGCGGCGGCTTGTGAAGTTTCGGCTTGGAGGGTTTTGGGTTTAATGCTGGCTTTGGAGTCAGGGGCAGCCGTCCCGGTGAATAGCTTCAAGAACGAACAAACCGGACTCCTCATGCTCGCAGTGTCGAGTGTAAGAAGATCCAGTGACGTTTGGGCTGAAGGTTCGGGGATTCGGCGCATTCTGGGCGCATTAGGTTCGGGGATGAGGGTGGCCGATCAATCCAGAACCCGGGGTCAGGGAAAACACATGCACAGGTTCACCGCTTCCAAGGCAATGCTTGACTGGTTTCCATGGACCCCCGGATCCCGTATAAGGACATATTGACACGAGTTGGCATTATGCGTCCGGCAGTAGAACCCGGACTCGGAGGACAAGAAGAAAACTAAGCCAGCTCCCCCTAACAGTGTTCATGTAAGTCGCAGTGGCCGGCTGCAAGCAGTCGTACCTGCAGGTCTGGGCATCTTTGCACACGACACAACACAACACTCATGAGGCGATGCTTTAAGGTAAAGGGGAACGAACACCTACGGGAAAAGTAGATCAAGCCTGCGCCACAGCCCTTTTCACTGAGAAGCTTCACAAGTCTCCTGCCCGAGAACAAAAAGACACAAGCACACGCCCTCACTGACTCAAGCTCAAAGGTTTCACGCCAAGTTGCGCTAAGCGCCACAATTCCCCCACCCTCAACTTAGAATTTCAATACACCAAAGCCGCAGCAAGACCCCAAAAGGCCAACCGGGCCTGACCTAAAATGCTACCCCTTTCGTGGCCAGGTTGCCAAGCGGGCACGGGCCATCGTAGAAAGCCGCAGAGCAGCGGAGCGATGCTCTGGGCAACAGAGCAGAGAAAAGCAGGGATTAGAGTTCGCTGCTTTCGTTAAAGAAAAGGCTTAGGGTTTGCTTTGTTGCCAGTTTGCTTTGAAAAAATGCAGAGCTTCGGGTGTAGGTCGGAGGCATGAGTCCTGAGGGTCGAGTTGAAGGCCTTTGGGCTAAGGCCCTCGGGTTCAGGACATAAAATGCTTGGAACTGCACCTGTACCCGTCAGACCCCAGACTTGGAACGGCACCTTTTTCAGATGGGTAGAATGTGCCGAACACTAGTTGTCCAAATCCTGAACCAAAAAGCCCGAGGTTTGTCTTAGGTGCGCTTCGTGGCAACGGGACAAGCGAAGGCGAGGAGACGCTCTCCGGGATCAGAAATCCTGAACACCTGACTTTGGGGTTGAAGCTGATCTTCGGTTAAATGGTTCGACGAATCTTGCTCACGCCACCCCCGTCAGCCCGAGCCGTCTTTAAATATGCAGATGGAGACACACAGAGCAGTTCGGTCAGCGTCCAGGCCACACCCAAGAAGGTGCAACTCCTCAGCATCGTGGCTCAGGTCTTGTCAATGATCCTTCGAAGGTTAGAAGTTCTGGTCCGTGCAGTACTTACAGTGTCTTTGTTGCTCACGGCGAGAATGCTTCTCTTATCAGCTACGGGGGCTTCAAGACGCTAGCGTTCTGCTAAAGTCAACCAAGAGCTTTGACACAGACGTACTCACGTACTGTTACAGTAGTGTTCACTTAAGTCATTCAACAAAGCAACCTGTCAAGGAAATCGGCAACTGGTTATCATGTGGAGCCAGTTGGTCGCAAAGCGACAGCCCGCCTGGCAACCGACATCGCCTCTCGGAGATGTTCTGGGGTGACTCGCCCTAGAAGCACTTGCTGCAACCGTATTCACGAGACCCTGAGAGCCAGCCTCTGTCTTAAAGGCCCGCCCCCCGATCTCGGGGCCTTAACCCTTGAAGCCTCGTGACCCACAGGGAAAAATTCTTGCTCGGATCATGATCACCAAGTATTCTCTACCTTGTTTGAGCCCAACGTTTACATCTGGACATCAATCCTTCGGCAAGCGAGTCCTTAAGAGGGAATTCAGAGCTACCACCAAGGGGCTGGGGTTTGGAAGTTCGGCTACGGTGCCCGGAAAAAGAACCTTTAGGTAGGGTTTCCATTGAGGGCATAGTGCAGGCCCTGCTGAAGTTTTTTAAGCTCCACTCCACAGTGCATAGAGGCCAGGCTTCTGCAGCAGAAAGTAGGCCAGAGCCATGGAATCCCAAACGCCTGAGCGCTGCAGGTGTCGGAAAGAAGGGCTTCCTGGGGGCTTTCCGGTTGGGCTTTCTTCAAACAGTGTTACGGCTAAGGATTTCTGCAGGCTTCAGGCTTCTCAGGATTGGCAGTGGGTGGGGTACAGCGGCAAGACTGCAAGGGTGCACAGTTGGGGTTCAATTTTACGGGCGAGTTGGATTACAAGGCACACGTCTGAACCTCAAACCTCTTATGTCTACAGCATGTGATGCCCAGTTGTGCCAGCTACGTTGCGAGGAGCTAGAACTTAACACAGGGCTTCCCTGCAGACTTGTATCCCCACATCTTGGTCTTGCAGAGCGCAATCAACTGCCACGAAGCTGGATAACCATAAGGGCACTTCAAGCTCAAGAATAACTGAGACCTCCCGAACCCCCACAAAGCAACCACAACCCTGTGAAGAATGAAAACATGGCTGGGCTCAGCGTATGTCGTGAAGCGGTCCTACACCAGAATTCTACGGAATGGCGAAGTACTGGTGAAATAGCAAAACGAAGAAGACCAACGACAGTTGCAGCCAGCCCCTGTTTCGGGACCAGCGGCCCAGGACCCCTTGCTGCCGAAAGAGAAGCCGAATGCCTTTGCAAAGCTCCGAGTGAAGCCCAGCCAAGAGCAGGTGTCGACTGGGTTCATTGGAGGGGGGAGCGTTTATGTGTTTCGCCTTGTGGAGACCGAAGCCCGGCTTCGGGGCGATGGCGGGGTTGCTTCCTGCTGTGTTGCGAAAGCTCTGTTTCTCAACTTCAGTTTGTGCGGGGCTTAGCATGAAGCCTGACGAGGGGGTTGGCCAAAAGGTCTGTCAAACAGTCCAATCTCTTGTAGCCCAATGCATCTACCGGATGCTGCCTTCGCTATATTCCCGGACACTACATCTAATCCTAGGAAAAAAACTAAAACCCACCGTCTTCTGGCATCCGTGGCCCACATCTACCTTCACCTCGTATCTCCCAGATTGAAAGGAAAGCTGCTTAGCCTGCTGTCCTGTTTAGGCTCTAGAATCTGGTACACGAGCGCGGCGGAGGGTTTCAGCACTCACAATTCAGGCATGAGACCTGCACGGGGGTATGCTTTTAGCTGTATATCTTATGGATTGGGGAGTTGCACTATTTTGAGAACGTGACTTCAACGGCTAACGTTACACCCAAAACTGTGACAAAGCCCCTTAAGGCTTAAACATCTAAACAGCCGCAAACTCGAACCCTGCCTTGAAGCTCCGCAGACAAGACCCCAAGCCGAGATGCCATGACTACGCCGTGTGACGCGCGCGGACTCCTTCTGTCCGTCCTTCTGAGGTCTCCGGTTTTAGGAGTTCTCCCAGCCCTCAAAACAGACTGATTGAGACCCACTGATTGAGCATGGATCCACTCCGGGTAGGTTTATGCTTCCGTAACTGTAGATTCTAGCTGTGTCGGTATGCGCCCCTGAAGAGCAACACAGGCCTCCAGATCGAAGTAGGACTGAGCTGCTGGGATGGATCGGAGAGTTCGCACGCCTCTCTTGGGCTTTTTCCGGTGCACTCCGACGGAAGCCTCAAAAAACTTCGAAGCAAAGACGCCACAAGAATCCGGCCCTACAACTTGATGCTCATAACCCGAATTCGCCACTGCAGAGGTCCGACCCCCACCCAAGACCCCGCCCCCAAAATGTGTTCCAGCAAAAAATCAAACCATAAAAAACTGCCGCGGCCTTCGATGGGCTGCCGGGCCGCAACCTTCAGCTCGAAGCTGGGCTCCTTCTGGGACTCTGATGGGGTTCCTCTTCTCTGTTTGCCCGCTGTGCCAAGCAATTCTTCGAGTGCAAGTGTAAGTGTATTTCTAGGTGTGCTTCTCCCTGTGAGCTGCCAAGGCATGTGTCTCAGCGGTGTCCGCCCTTGCGTCGAGAGCACGGGCCTCTCGAGCAAAACGGGGCCATTTTCAGGCTCCCAACTCTCTCACTTGTCGTGCGAGGGCGCCCAAACGAGAAAAGTGTGCTCGGATCTCTTTCATCCTCCTCCACATGGCATCGGACTACAGAGCTAGCTTCCCAAGCATAAACTTCGACGGTGACTTCTTTGTATGTGTAAGGTCGGCGACCGGCAACCCAACCCCTAAACCCCAGAAATACAGCACCCTCCGGCACTGCCCGCTCCTTGGCTGGCAGTAGCCACGTAGCGGGGTCCTGCCTCAGGACATTTGGTCCAAAAACCGATTCGAGAAACCAAAGCTGCTGTCCGAAAACCTCGAACCTCAAGCCCATCTGACCAAGAGTCGTGTCGGACACCTGTCGGGCCATTCCCCAGAAGGCAAAACTTCAAAAGCCTTTCGGATCCTGGTTAAACCTCAGTTAGGGTTACTTCGGGCTTGGTAATATACTGGTTGCGAAGTAATGACATGGACAGGATACAACCACCCCGCAGGGGAGATCATTAAGCCCTCAAGCCTAAGGCCAAATCTGAACCAGGCCTGCTGACTTCGACTACGCTTGAAATCCGCGCTAGGCTGCCAGGAAAGCCAGAGGTTAGTATAGAACAGGGTGATCTCCAGCTCCACGCCCACATTCCGCAGCATTGCCTCAAGGCGTTGGACCATGGCCGAAAAGGTGGCCACAGGTTCAGAAGCGAACATAAGTACCAGCAGAGAGACATCAAACAAAGTTACGCATAACGGACCTAACATTGAGCTGCTGGCCTGACCTGTTAAACGAAGGGGGATTGGGCTCCTCTGTGCTTGTTCGATTCCGGTCTTGTCGGGGTCAAACTTTTCCCGGGTCCCCAGCCTGTGCGCAGCAATCTGCTTCCGGGTTTCCCGAAAAGTCTGCGGAAAGGCCACTATGTCGGGCCGGGGGCCGAAGCCTCCGAACACCCTTGAACCACCCACACACACAGACAGACACACACACACACACGGTGAGTTAGTTCGGGTTTGCATTCGGCGAAGACCAGAACCAGTGTCCAGGACTCAACTGTCCACACACTGGTGACTTTTGACATGTCAGCACATGGACCGTAACTGCATTGACGAGGAGCAAGAAGTCTGTAGCCTGTACCTCTACCTGCCTGGCTAAACCCTATTTCCAGCCTGAACCCCAACGCACCACGGGTAAAGACACTGAATACCGCTCAAGTCGAAGCGCAAGTCCACTCAGCCCTCCAGATTGCGGAAACCATGCAGCCGATGCACTTACGCTAGACACAAGCACTGACTCACAAATGCTGTCGCACAGGAACTGAGCTGTTCGGAATGGGTTTCTCGGCCTAGCCCCAGGCCATCCGGCCATACAGCATACCAGTCAAACAGCATAACAATGCAACGACGAACCATGTACAGCGAATACCAGGATGTCACAAGCAGTCTCTGCAGGTACGTGGATTGAGCGTCCCCAATCCATATCACGACAAACTGGAAAAGTCTTCGTTGGGCAGTGCCTTCCAGATTTTCCACTGCCCCCCCTGCTGCGTTAAAATCAGATTGCAGATCAGAAGTACGTAGTACTCTGTCCATGTAAATACAAATGGCTGCGGCAAGCAATTTGTCAGTGCGTGAACTGAAGCCCCTTGGATACAGGGTGGTCACACACACACACACACAGACGGAGACAGAGACAGAGACAGGGACAGGGCCAGGGCCAGGGACAGAGACAGAGACAGATGCAGACACACACACACACACACACACACACACCCACCCACCCACGCATGCCTGCACAGTCACGCGCACGCACAGGCAAAGATGCCAGGTTAAGTGTAGGCACGTGAGCCCCAACACATCCCAAAACTGTAACTCCACTGAGGCCGGAGGCACCTTCTCGCCGGTGATGTTGAACTCTGAACAGCGGCCGCATTCCTGGAAAACTAGCGGCAGAGGGGATCCCACGGCGACCCAGGACCTGACAAGTTTAGTCATAGCACCGCCCAGTGTTTCGGCGAAATCGCTCTTTTGCTTTCTACATGCTTGGCCGAAGACGGTCTGAGGGCGCATTCAAGCTGCCGGAAAGAGCCTGTGAGTGCACCTTCAGTCTCTCATAGCCTCTCACTGTTCCCCACGTATGCATCTAATAATGTGAATCCCGTTCTTCTCCAAATCATCCAGAACCCTGCGTCCTGGTCCAAGTGCACACCTGCCGCGGCCAGGAGGTCTCCGATACGAACCTCTCCGCATAGGGTTCCACGCAGGTTTCGAGCTTCGGCAAGGCCTATACAAGTACAGGAGTGGAAAAATAGCCCCTCGTGTCAGTCCGCTGTAGGGCGCAGTAGCTGGTGGCAGATCGCGCCGACTGGTCTGTCTGCGATATTTTATGCATAAACCTGGACGTCTGGAGCCGTAGAGTGGCTCGGTCTTTTTGACTGATGTCCAAACGAGTCAAACCTTGACCCCTAAAGCCTAGGCAATGCTCCACCCAATGTGCCCCAACTAAGCTTTCAGCCTTCAGGCCCGCACGATTTGAGGCCAATCTGTATTGAAACTCTAAAACCGGCTCTTCAAACCAGTCTACCGGTCTCACAGTTGAGGGTTTCGGGCTCGCCGAAACCAGAAAGAAACGCTGCGTCGCTCTTGAACGACCCACCGGACGCGAAGACAAAAGCCTGCCCAAATCTGCGCCTCGGAAATAGCACAACCCCGGAGCAGGAGAACCCAACCCCAATTCCTAAGCCCAGCATGCCCAAAGGTCGCCCAACCTGTAGCCGTCGATCAGAGGATGCAGACAAGCCAAAGATGGCAGCAGGGCGCACGGCAGCGCCTTCAGAGGATGCAGACAAGCCGAAGGTGGCAGCGGGGCGCATGGCAGCGCCTTGCGCTGCATACCTCGGACGATGCTGCAGGCATGCTGAAGCTCAGCTGTTTCGGGCACCGCGGCCTCACGTGCTACAAGTCATCGAACTTCGACAAAGACTCCTCTCGGGTTGAACCAAAGCACGTAACTAGCACCACAACTGCCGCAGTGCCGCGGCGCGCGGGGTACATGTTGATACATGTCAGCACCGACTCAAAACTTGCCGTCTTTCGAGTGCAGTTTGGTTTCCAACTATCTATAACCGCAACCCCAAGGGCAGAGACTTCAAGCAAAATCGGAGCTTCGGGGCAAGTCGTCTGAAAAAAAGATTGCAACCTTGTGAAATGTACCGTTGCGGGGGGCATTCCATATATGTTGGACGTTAAACAAGCAAAGTTTACTCTGGACGGACCCACGAAAATTCAAAGTTGCTCGATCGGAGAGCTGTAGGTCCCAGGCAGCTGCACCTCCCGCAAGAAGCCTGCAGTTGGGATTGAGAGGTGTGCGGTTTTGGGTCACGCGGCTTATTGTGAGTGAAACTGTGGTAGGGCCACAGGCCAAAGGCATGTTTCCCGAAGCCCCAGCCCCCACACACGAAAGGCTTTTCATCCTAAAACCCTACAGGACTTAAAACCTAAAGCCTAACTGTGGCGTAACAAAAAGCCAATCTTAGATCAAACCTTGCAGCCCTAAAGCTCAAACTTTACAGCCTTCAAGCCTTACCCACAATATCGTACACGTATCCCGACAAAATACAAGTCCCACACAAAACCCTAAGTTATACACGCCAATGTTGATTACATGCTGCAAGGCCTCATGTCTACATCATACACAATGTACGCCTGAAATCTCGTCGCCAAACCCTTGAGCCAAAATGGCTAGAGCCCTAAACTGTTTTGCAGCCGGGCCTCCAGGGGTACCCCAAATTGTAAATCCCCCTATACCTGAAGCCTAGCCGTTCGGAACCAAATCCAACTCAAACGCATGACACAGCTCCACGGATCCAGATGCAAGATTTAACCTTTTCTTTATTGTTCACTTAAAGTAAGTGTAGATGACAAGTCGTTATCACTCTCTTCCAAAAGTACACCTTAAATGCAGAATCCCCTTCATTAATATTAAGCTAGACCAATAATTGCACCAAACACTACAATGCATGATGCAAAAAACAAACTTTGCCTTCAGATGTCTGATCAAACTCCGAGTACAACCCGAAAGGCCCTGCTGAAACCGAGGGCACCTTGAAACTGCTTGAAAGCCTCATGGGACCCGTATAGAACACCCAAAAACACTTTCCCAAGACTCTCAAAAAATGCGCCAACTCCTCACCACCCCGCTCCAGCCTGGAAGGTCCTGGCCGCTCCAAACCTTACACGTCAGACACTTTAGGGCTCAAAAGGGTCTCCTCTTGTAGGACGAGGCCCGCATATCCCGCATTGCAGGGTGTGTTCTGGAAGGACGCCCGAAAGCGAATTTTTATGCTTGGTCTTGCTGCTTGAAGTTTTGGCGCCTTTTGGGCTTCGAGCTTGACGCTGACGAATTGTTCTGCATCCGAGGAGCTTGGACTTCAGGGTGCCAGCTCCTAAAGCTCAAGCCCTTGCAACACCCATCCCAGAAGCACAGACACCCTCCGAACTCGAACCTTGATGCATAGTAATCTGCACAAGTGTCCGGCACCTCGTGGAAACATCTGAATCAAAAGGGTGCCAAAACTCTTGGAGCAGATTCCTGTTGATGTTTGTCAAACGGATCCTACCGGGGTGCTTCATTTTCTGCGAGGAACCCTAACCAGCCCAGGGCACGCCTAGTCCGGAAGTCAGCCGATGCTCCAGCACCAGAATCCATGCCTCCGGCTCGCCTCTTCCAGCAGTGCTCGTTGTCCGACGTTATTCTTGATTTCGTTTTGTGTGTGCCGTTCCTGCTCGTCCCAATCTTGGGCCGGACTTGGGTTCATGGCTGAAGGGACTGTGATCCAGCGTAATGGGAAACTTGCGGCTCGACCAAACGACTTCCACTGCAGCCGTGGATTTTATGTAGTCTAGTTGAAACACGCAAAAACTTGGGGCTTGTAACCTTGTGCAACTTTCGCAAATACATGGTTCCACCATCTCCTTGTTTGCACTGTGTGGTATTGTGCAAAAGCTTCCCCACAGAATACATGAGCTTTCTGCCACGACATCTAACCAGTGCCCTGAAAACTGTTCCACCCAACAGAACATTCCCAACCCCAGCCCTGTGTTTGAATGCTCAAACTGAAACGAATTGAGACATGCACCCACGTAAAAACGCTGCGTCCGTGTGGGCGGTGGCGGCGTCGAAGTCACTGTTGTCGCGCCGGCACCGAGACGCTGAAGCGGAGGCCGCCCCATTGCGAGAGCTTCCTCGAACAAGATCCGTACTCTCGCAATTCGGACTCTCCAAGCGAAATCAAGATTGAGAGTTCGGGGATTTTGGCAATTCGGGTTTGATCACTGCCCGGACTCGCAGTGTGCACAAACCTGAAGGCCGGCACAATGCCTCGACCGAGGTTGCCAGGAATCCTCGCGAAGACGAAAACTCGCACGCCTGGGACCAACTCACTGTCCAAGCTTTGTGGCAACGTCCAGGGACGCCTTTTGTGGTGGAACATGGTGGAACCGCACAGTCACACCACATTGCAGTTGCATGTTGTAGCTTCTTTCCATTGATCAATTAGATAATCCGTGGCGCCCATTGGCCACCCATGAATATGCGAAACCAAGACCGCCTATGATCTGCGCGGGCGCCTGGAGCCAAGGCAATTCCACACAGAGGCCTCGGACGGAAATGCGAAATCGACAACATACATGAAAAACCTAGCGATCAATTGCACGCTGTAATTACAGCAGTTGGAAACATCAGCTAAATTATGACACCCTCGTATCAAATTCGCAACCAAGCACCTGTGTGGTTCACCAGGGCTGCGCAACTCGGCAGATGGTCTTTCGCTTCAGCCAAGCGTGCAAATAGGATGCCGTCGCCAGCCAAGTTCTGCACAATGCGGCTTGTGAACCATGAAACCATGACTGCAAACCCTAGCACTTGTACGAAAAATGACTCTCCCCTCTCCGACCCTTGATTTACGTCCTTATACACATACAGCCATCAGCGCCTCTGCGCCACAGGGGCTGGCAGGTCGTTGTCCGGCTAACATGTTTTACTGCGTGAAAAAAAACTTGAACCCCCACACAAACAAAAAAATTGAATGTTCCTTTGTTTTTACGCACCTTTTTTGCGACTGCAAGTCAAACGACCGTCCAAGTCCTTGTGCAACCTGCGGTCTACGGTGCCAGGCAAGCGGGAGCTCTAAGCACGGGCAGGCAGGCGGCTGGGCTGTGGGACCTCCTGCCAGCAAGCATCCGCAAGGAGTTCGTGCAGAGCTGGTGGCGGGCCAGCAGCACAAGGCTCCGAGTGGAGGGGAAGCTCCAAGAAGGTGGCGGCGAGCGCGCGCTGCGCAGCAACGGAGATGAGTCCGCTCCAGCGGAGAACCCACGCGGCTTGGGCAGAGCTGCGGACCGCGGCAGGGGAACCGGCAGCACGTGCCCGGGCTAGCAAGCGGACAAAAGTGGCTGCCTCTTTTTTTTTTTCCGGCAGCCCAAAGTCACAGACAGAAGTGCCTACCGGGCCCTACGGAGGCGCACACACCAGAGCACTAGCGAGGCCCCTGGCGGCTGCCAACAGACGGAAGCTGCCAACGCACGTCGGCGAGGACCTCGTGCAGATCCGGCGGCTCCCCGGCAACATTACACTCGCCCGCGAGCGGGAGCTCCAACAGGGAAGCTGCGACGGCGCGCTGTGCTGCGACTGCGAGGAGCCCCGACCCAGCGTCCGCCGACCTCGAGCCCGAACACAACGAGGCGGCAGCGGCGGCTCCGGTCAAGTTCGGGGTAGGTTTGCCGTCGCTTGCGCTGGGCGGCATTGCGCACGGCCCAGATCGGGCGGGTGTCTGCTCCCTCTTGCGGCCCGACACGCGCCCCGGCTTCCTGGCGCTTGTCCACAAAGGAACACAATGAAACGTTATACCGTACAGGCCCTACCAATGGAACTCGTCACACTGGCGAAGGGCTCGGTGCCATCGAAGCCTTTCTCGGAGCGCAGCCGCTCGCCTCGCCTTCCGACAACCTTCCTCGCATCTGCAGCCTCCATGCGGACCGTCGCCCCGGGCCCCGCGCCGCGGCATGCAGCGGTGAACGGGTGGCGCGTGCCATCGGCCGTCGTCGAACAGGTCCGCCCCAGAAGGGCTGCCGCAAAGGCCGCTCGGCTGCAGCTGCAAGGATGCTTCCAGCGCAAAACGCATGTGGCCTGTGCACAGCCCGCGTGGCAAAAATCTGTTGTTTTCTCCCGGACCATTTTGCAAACCGCCGAGCGCGGTCCCAGTGCAGCAGACTACCGGGCGCAACCTGATCGAGGAGAAGAACCCACCCCACGTAAGTCTCCCGCATGCTGGGCCGCCACGTTGGAGCAAGAGTTTGCAAACAATCCGGTGCACTTGTTGCGCAGAATTTTCCCAAAGATTTTCCTAACTTTTGCGGCTTTCTGATTGGGAAGCAATAGGCTAGAAGCCTCCGAACCCAGATGGTGAAGCCCTTGAAGGGGGTCGAAGGCTTGGGAAAGGGCTTCATTTTTTCGAGCGGAGGCGAAGAGGGGCGTCAAGGGTTTCGAACGGAGACGAAGGGGGGCTTCAAGAGCTTCGAAGAGGGCTTCAAGGCCTTGAAAAGCTTCGAAGACTGCTTCCAGGGCTTTACAGGGGCTTGGAGGGCTTGAAGAGCTTCAAACATTTCGGCTTGAGGAAAGCTGAAAGAGGGGCTTGAAGGCGGCTTCGAAGGGCTATGAAGTTTCATCTGCCATCTCCCTTTTGTGAAGGGTCTTGGATCCTTCCCGGTGCTTGGAAGGCTCCCACGGGCTGCCCGAAGGGTTGCTAATTCCGAAGAGCAGCAGCATCAACATTGATTTTTTTCCCCCACGGACTTTTCGAGCGATCCAAGCGCGGCCCCAGTGCACCTGCAGACTACGGCCGCAGCGGCTCAACGAGCCGGCAGGCGGGTGGGCAAAGGTGGGCACGCATCGTGCAGGACGTCCTGCAGAGGCGGCTCCTGCGCACCAGGCCTGGGGGCGTTGATGGGCGGTGACCCGAGCAGAGTGGCAGCAAGCGCGTTTTGCACAGCAAAGCTCAAGAGGCCCCACCAACGCCTGCACCAGCCCTGGGTGGCAGCTCCCCGAAGCGGAGCGGGGGCTCGCAGGGCGCGGAGGCGAACGAGCTGGGAGATGAGGAGGAGCGACTCGTCATTCCAGCGCCCCCGGTCTCGCACGCGAGCACGCAAAGCCGTTGCGGTCCTCGCCGGAGGAGCTCAGTAGGCAGCGCGCTTGCGGCGTTCAGCAACGGCTAGGCAGCACCATCTCTGGTGGTAGCGGAGGGCTGTGGGCGCCCGTCGCGTGTGAGCGGCGACACCAAGGTCACGTCGCAGCACAGCACTTCGCCGAGCTGCGTCGCTCCGTAGGCGACGCAGTCGAGGCGCCGTCGATCATCCGGGTCGACGCCATGGGCGGGCGTCCGCGCGAGCCACTGCTGGGGAACGACCTGGCCGTCCGGCCCAACTGCTTCGCGCACGACCCGGGTCCAAGCGTGCTCGAGTGGTTTGGCTCGGCGGGCGAGCAGGCCGGTACGGGGACAGGCATCATAGTGATCGCCGTAGGCGTCGACCGCGGCGCCGCAGCCGTGTCCATGGGCCCCGCATCTGCCCTGTGCGACGGGCACCTGATGCTCACCTCATGATAATGCTTTGCCTCCTGCCCCGCGCGAGCTGCAGGGCCAAGAAAACAAGTGAACCCTAATTTTTGTTGCAGCAAAAGGTTTCCAAGGTTTCCCCCTAAAACCTCCCGCTCAACGGAGCGGGAGGCGACTCGGCCCGCTCGGCCCCGCAAGCGCGAGGATGCGCGAGGACGTGCTCGAGGGCAGGCTGCTGGTCTGTGGCGCTGCGGGGGAACAACCAGGCGGCACCCAGTGCCGTACCCCCGACCGCGTGGTGCACCGCGATCGATATGCCCAAGCACTCGAGGCAGCCACGCACAAGGCTGGCGGCGCCCTACGGGTCCAAGCGCCGTCGGCAACCGTGGCCCTCCTGCCTGCAACAGCCGGGGCCAAGGGGCAGCTGTAAGCGAAGGCGTCGGCGCAGCGCAATCTGCATGACTTCTGGCGGCAGCGACGTGGCGGTGTCAGAGGGCACCGCCGTGAGCTAGCAGCGCCTGGTGGGCCGGCCCTAAGACTGCCGATTACTTGCGAGCTCTTGCACCCGATTACTTGTAGCAAACGCGGAAACCCAACTCTCTTGAAAAGGTAGCGCGTCAGCAGCGTCAGCCAACGAAGTTGTCTGCATTGCGTTTTTCAATGGTTTTTCCATGTTTCTCGTTCGGCCAACATGGCGCATAATGGCGCGCCGACCAAGTGCAGATGCTACAACTGACCCACCGTGGGACTCTGCCAAAGGGAACCTTCTCTCGCTTCACAAGCACATGTAACGAACATGAATCTGCATTCCTCGCGCACTGCCCTGTTTTCTTATTAAGAGCAAGTACCCTATATGGTGTGTTTTTTTTTTTTGCGCGCCTTTTTACGACAGCGAAGAAAGTCCCGAGTCAGCCTACTGTGTGCGGGGCCGTCTGCACCCCACGTTGCGGGCTCAGAGTCGACTGGGCGCCGGGGGCTGGTGGCCCGCCAGGAGTTCCCCGAGTTGGGGGTTCCAGGCCGTCCGTTGGGTCTCCAGGCCCCGCGATGGGTAGCTCGAGCAATGAGCACGCATGCGCGCGTAGGGCGGCGAACGATGCAAGCGCCGTCCAGCGGTGCGTCATGGCTCGCTGCGCTCCGACCGCACACCACGGCGCCCTTTGGCGGGCCCGCGCCTTCGCGAGCAGTCGCAAGAAGGTGAGCGTGTTCGGGCTGATGCGCCCTCCGACCTCGACGCCGAACACGACCAGTCGGCAGCGCCGGGCTTGGCTCAGTTCAGGGTAAGTCCGGCGTTTGCGGTCGACTGCTTGTGCCAAGGCCAGGCCCGGTTGCTGGTCAGCCCGCGGGCGGGGCTGGCCATCCCGGCAGACCGGGCTTACAAGGGTTGCGTCAACGGCGACTTGGGCGCCCTGCCATATAGGGGGAGGCCGTTGGCGACCACCTCGATGCGGCGTCCGTCGCTCGCGGGCACGTCGAGGTTGAGGTCTCTGAGGGCGACGTGCGTTGCGACGCGGGCACCAGCCTCCCTGCAGATGCGAGCCGCTGCCCGCTCCAAGGGGCCGCCAGGACACCCACCTGTGCGCAGGCCGACCGGTGGTCGCCGTATGCCTCCAGGAGTCCCCCGCAAGCGCAACGTTTCGGGGCGAGCGGGAGGGGCAGGCGGAGTCTGCGGAGCAGCATCACTCGGAACTCCGCGTCCGGTACTCGGGTGTCGGCGCTCGTAGGGAAAGCCGTGAAGGCACAGCTCGCGGCATCGCCACCTTGCGACAGCAGCAGCCCTCGGGACGCAGGGTCAAGCTCAGTGAAAAGCGTCTCGAGACGCGCTTGTGCAGGGTTTTTGATGCCGTTCGCTGCCATCCCGGTCTTTCTCCTGGGGCAGGGCGGGTGGTGAGGCCGGCGGGGGCGGCGCCATCCTCCTCCAGCAGTTGTGCCCAGGTTGGCGCGGGGAAGCCGCCCAAGCGCAGGACGCGGGCAGCCTGTTCCGCTGCTCGCGTGCTGGGGGGGGTTCCGCTGGCCGTCGCGTCCAACAGTGGGCGGAGGAGGTTGGCCAAAACGCCCGGTTGGTGCTGCCGCAACGCTCGGACAGTGTCTGCCCAAGAGCTCCAGTAAGCGGCGTGGCGTTGCCGGTCGGCGGACCCCAGTCCCAGTCCTCCCATGTGCAAGGGGAGTTGGGCGCGTTGGTGGCTGAGCTCGGGCAGCGGCATGTCGCCATCGCCACCCGCCAGCATTTGAGCCAGGCAGTGTCGAATGGCGGCATCGTGGGAAGCCG